ATTTGTCTTGGAAAGTTTCTGCATAGATGAGTTTGATTTGCATCTACAACTGGGTTTAAATTTGACATTGCTGTATCCTGCTATCCCATGCTGTCCATATATCTAAAGTACCAATGCCTGGAGAATGTTGAGTATTAAGAATGGCATTTAGAGAAATCAGATTTAAGTGATTGCACTTTTCTAGCCAATAAGAGATGCAAGTTTGGGCTACTGGGAGGTTCCTGTATCTGACCTGACTCAGGTCAGTCTGCTTTTCTTCTTAGATAAATGCAAAAGTAATTACTCCATATTGGTCCTAAGTAGGAGGCTTTCCCTTGGGATTTGGATAGTTAGATCTCAGATGTTACTTCTGACCAATTTTGACCAAGGAATTTTGGTGTCCTGCAGCTTAGGTGGATATCCTAAATGTTGGATTCTTTGGTACTGTCAAAAATATGGAAGCAGAAAAGGAAACATTTTGGTTTTGTCTGATCTCTGGGTGGGCAGACAAGGTAGGTGTATTGAAGGTGGAGAGTGACTGTACAGCTGCAATAAACAGCCTTTCATGGTTACTGTCAGACTGCTGGAATGAGCATTCCCTGCCCTCCCTGTCAGTGCCAGCTGGGGAGGGATCCATGGATGCCACCTCAGGCACTCAGACTGAAGGAGCTGCAGCTCCTTGCACTTGCAGCTTGGCAGTGACTTGCAAGGACAATAATCCTTTGCAGATGGAATGAACAAATGGGAGTAACACTGGTTATGGGTAGTTTTTGGCAATATACCTGCACTGGGGAGAGAAGAGTTACTCACAGCCTCTTAAAAATACTCATCAGACAAAATTCTAACAGTTAAACAGGAAAGAGATAATCTGCTTGGGAACTTTGTTAAGTCTAAGGAATGAGTTTCATTAAGTTTTATGGTAGCAGGATTGGGTTGTGTGAACACCTGCCAGCAGAAAATTAAGTATTTAGAGTGTGTGCCATGGTAGGTGTGTGATGTCTACATCACAAATGACTCATTGGTGCATTGCTTGCAGTCAGAGGCTAGAAATCAAGAAGTGGCACATTTTTAAACAGGTCCTTGGCTTCTCCCTCCCCTGTTCATCACTAATGCTGCAAGAGGCACCTGAGACACCTTCAGCCTCAGAGTGACCCAACTGCAGCAGAAGGATGTCACCTCAAAGTATGGCTATTACTAGAATTTTTTAAATTACAAATTAAAAAAGCACACATAGTCTTTCCCCAGCTCATTACATCTGGTTATTTACTGTAATGATGCTCCTGAGAGATTCCTGGAATGAGAAGATAGCTTGCTTTGGTTTGTTTTCTCTACACCATACCCTGTGGTACTGGCTTTGATTTTAAATGAATCCAAACCCCAAACATCTTTAACTCACTAAAAGGAAAGTCTTTACAATCAACTGCCTGGATTATTTTCAGCTGAAAAGGGCCAGGTAACTACAAAAAGGAGTATTGCCCAGAGTTCAAATGTGGTTAAGTTTCAGCCATACTCTTGAATTAAAATGGTGGATTTGGTCAAAAGAAAGAGCACTTGAAATTTTAAACCTTAACTGTGGAATTCTAAATTCAAGCATCATTTCATGTATGAAGATGAACTTGAAGGCCTCATTTTTCTTTAAAAAAACAAAAGGATTAAAATTTGGTTATTAGGCCTTTTTACATAATGTTACTTCAGGCTGACATAGTTGATCAGCAGAAGCCCTTCTGTGGGAATTCTGTATCCTCAGCAATTTCTGGCTACTCAAAAGGATTTAGGGGTATTTGCAAGTTTAAAAATTAAAACCCCTTAACCAAAATGGAAACACCTACAAGCAGGGCTTATGGTGTTAGTTTAAGTCATACCTTCAGTTGAACTTATTTGCTGGATACACACACTTTCTGAGATTAAGTGGATTGTTGGCATTAATTCCAGTGTGGAAATGAGAAGACTGGTGCACTATAATACAATTTTAAATACCAAAATCCACAAACATTGTTATATTTCCACATAATAGAAAAATGCTGTTTCCTGCTTGTAGTTTTTCATGTAGATAGTGGAGCTGACAAGTTATTCTAAATCAAATTTATATTTTTCAAGCACCACAGAGTTAGTCCAGAAATAAAGTTGTTTAGTGCACTATAGCTATAAAAGTTTCCTGCTTGTAGTTTTTCATGTAGATAGTGGAGCTGACAAGTTATTCTAAATCAAATTTATATTTTTCAAGCACCACAAAGTTAGTCCAGAAATAAAGTTTAGTGCACTATAGCTATAAAGGCATTTACATACAGCATTATATTGCTTGTAGTCAAGTGCCTCCTGAATGTGTAACTAAGAGAGAGTGTTCCAAGACACAGAAACATCACTTAAATTTGCATGAAAATGTAAGTGTTAACTTTTTCTTATATGAGGTATTATCTAGTACCAGTTGCTGCTTGATTTCTGTCAATGAATCTCAGGGGTATTGCATGAGATAGGAGATGATGATGGAACTGAATAGAAAATGGGAAAACCAGTCTGGGTCATGACCATTTTATTGTGGAAAGTGCTGGCTCTCAGCAGGAGGGAGGGCCTGTGTGTTGAAGCAGCTGAGCATAAGCACTGCCATGAGCTCAGTGAGAGCTCTGTGGTTTGTTAATATTCTCAACCCCCTTGTTAGTCACAACTGCAGCAGCTGCATTTACCTGTTTTGGTTTGTGGTTTTTGTGTCTTTTTTAAATATGGCAGCTAAGATCACCAGGAATGATTGAAAAGTTTGCCTGAGATCATACGCAGGTGACTGTGGCTGGATCAAGTCCCAAATTCTCCTCGTTCTCAGGCTTTAGTGTGGCCACAAGACTGCAGTGCTTCAGTTGAACTTCATCCTCACCTGGTACTTGGCACAAAGAAGCCCAAGGAAAGAATTTACTTTTGAAGTCTCTTCTAAATGTTCTAACTTGTTTTGTCCTTTGTATTCAACTAGTCCAGGAAAAAGAACTTTTGAAGGCTTGGTTCAACTGTCAAATAAGTGTTATGTGCGCCCATATTTTTTATGTTTTATCTTTAAATTTGATAGTTTGATGTTGGCCAGAAAGCAAGCAGCTGTGCAGGCTGCAGCTTTGAAGGGCACAGACATCAGTGGAGGAAAGGTATCACTGGAGATCTTCCCCCTGTAAAGCAGAAAGCCCACTGACTGCTAAAAAAATACATTCCATTTCTGGGCTGGAAACCTTTTTTTGCCAGGTACTTCTAGTTCAAAGTGCTGCTCTTTAGGAACTGTTTAGTGTTTTGCTGTTTTTTCTTTTTACACCAATCTTGAGTGGGGAGTGTAAAGAAAGTGTAAAGTTAAATGTATCCTTAATGTATTGATGGGGAGAGGCAGGTATAAGTACTTTGGAAGAGATTTCCCTCTTAGAGAATTCCTTAGGCTCATGCATATGTAAGTTACCTTTGATCTGTCCCTTCCAATGAAAGCTTACTGACAGGGCAGTTTAAAAAAAAACAATGGATTTTTTAAGAATGAAAGTGATGGTCTGTTTAAATGAAATGTCAGTCATGAAGCTGACATTCCATAGGAACATGTGTGAAGTACCTGTTCCCTTCTCCTCCCTTTCAAAAGTGAGCCACTTGGCTCAATGCACTGACTCTCTCAGCAAGAGGATTTTTTTGTATCTGTAAAGCTTTTCTGGTATGGAGGTAGTGTTACAGATTCGGTGGCTGCTGTTGCCTGTGAGCCATGAGCACAGGATGGTCTGAACAGTCTTGCCCCAAGGGTGAATACCACAGCAGGCATTTTAGTTTGTGCATTTGCTATTCATTGCTATTGTCTGTGAAACAGATAGCTGAGTTAAGAGCCATACCTACATACTGGTGCTGCCCTCAGGTACTCCCCACCTGCGGGAGTTTGAGCTATCTGTGAGAAGTTTCTCTCTGGGTGCTTCAGTTTGTAATCAGCATACAGGTGGTGCTTGTCTAGGCCTCACAGTTTGACCTGTCCTGTGAGCAGCCAGCCCTGCACTCGGCCAGGCAGCTCTTGAGCTGGAGCCTCATTTTCTCTCTGTAGCTCAGGCTTGGTGCTTTTGGGTCTTGCTGGCCTGAGTGAGTGCAGGTTTGGCTGTAGAAGATGATGTGGACACAGCCCAGGCTATGAGTGATGCTGCCAGCATCAGGGGGAGCTGCTGCCATTGCTCAGGTGAGCAGCAGCACAAGCTGCCTCCTCCCCAGTGCAGGAGCAGAGCCAGGACAGCCTCAGCTGAGACACGGGGCAACCCCTACACAGTGGGAAAAGTGGAAAGATTTACCTCATGAAAACTCCTAGTTAACTTAGAGGCTCAGCAAAACCCTGGGCACTGGAACACCATGGGAAGAGCACATTTACAGTGCATTTTGCATTGACATTCAAGGTTTTGGTTTTTTTAAAAGGTCTTTATGATTGGATGTGATGTTAGCTATGGAAAACACAGCCTCCTGTTGCAAGTCTAAATTTAACAGTTCACATGGGATATGTGTTGGGTAACTTGAGCCACAGATTATTTTACATGGTTTGATACAACTTTCAAAGGTGCATCAAGGTGAGTGCAACTGAAGTTGCTGATAAGAAAGTCTGTCAGAATCCAGGCTGACCAGAATGCAAAACATGAAATGATGTATTGTTGAATTTTTTTTTCCTAAGAACCTCAGCCAATGACTTTGCCCACCCCAAATTTGAAAAGACTGCCATGAAAAGACACTGCCTGAGATCCTTAACATGGTGGGAGGCTTTTTTAAAAAAACCAAGACATGCTCTAACATCAAAGGGATTATATAAAGTTGGAACAGTAAAGGAGAAGCTACACTAAATATGCTGTAATCTAGAAATACAATTTTTAAACTTATTTTCCTTGAAAAAAGCTGGTGCAGAGAATACTGTTTTTTTTTCCTGACTGTTTTAATAATGGCTAAGAATAATCACTTATAATAAATTAGACCTGCAATATAAATGAACATATGAACCTTTCATACTAATGTTTCTTGTTACTTTTAGAGTATCTAAAATGGATATAAACTATTTCAAGATTCATTTAATCACTTGCAATTTATATTACTTTAAGAATCCTCTATACAGCAAGTTGAACAGAAAAAAAGCAACCATTTTAACAGCCCCTTTTCCCTATAACCACTTTCATACAAGATAGTTTTAAATAATGATTTTAGCACATTTGTGTGTGCTCTCTCCCCCTTTTTCTAAAGGCAGCACAGCCAAAAGACAACACAAGAATTGGCTTTTACTGACTGACTGTTTTCTTCTCCATTTAAAAAAGACAAGGGGAAGACAAAGCCTTGAGTCCCAAAAAGGAAAAGATGATCTTAAGGTTTACTTTGCCAAATCTCCAGGGGCTTTGTTCTTTTCCTCATTTATAGTTATAAAACCCACTTTGCTCTGTCTCTGCATGTCACTCTGTGTTCAGTTACACAATTCTTCAATTTCATTTATGGATAAACTTGTTTTGAAGCTTCCATTTTGGTTCACCAAACACAGTGCAAACCAAGGCAAGAAACCAGTAAAATCCAAACAGGAACTCTCGGTAGGAATATTTGAGCAGCATGTTTTATATTCCATTTTCTACTGTCCTCATTCTGGGGAGGAAGAATCCTCATCTTCATCCTCTTCATCTTCCTCGTTGAAGGAGCAGGGTGTCTCCCCCCGGGAGGCTGCACTGCTGGACTGCTGACTGCTAGGGGCAAGCAGCTGCCCAGTTGCTAAGGCCACTTCAGCATCCAAACACAACCCTGGATTCTCACTAGCAAGACAACAGAAAGGGTGAAGTTTAGAGGGTTTCTCATGAGGTTTTAAGGTTTTTCTTTTTGGCCTCAGCTTTTGCTTTAGTTGAAGAAATGCTACCAACAAGGAAAAATCCCAAAGTGTTACAGTAAACAGCTGTTAGTTAGGAGAGTTGATAAAACATTGGAAAGTTGCATAAAAAAGAATATTGGGTGACTTCCCTTTTTTTTTCCATAAACAACTAGTAGAATTGCTTAAGCTGAAGAAAAAAAAAAGGAAATCCATCACAGTTTCAATACTACACAGAAATTTTGCAATATAAAATGAAGCTGTTAATTGCTATGAGAAAGAGCCTGCTCCAAAATAATAATCCCTATAATAATCCTAATTTCCATTTTTTATGGTATAGGTAACCATAACCTCCAAGCAAAGTCTGGCTGTGTATTTAATCTATTTAAGGTTGGGGTTTTGCACATGGTGTTTTTTTGTTTGGTTGTTGGTTTTTAATTTTAAATTCTTATTAAGTTGTGTGAACTAAATTTCTTTCATGAGAGCTTAAATAGCAGTGCATTTAGAGAGCAGACATTCTTATGCATTCTTCAGAAAAATTACCAGGCTTTTATCCACATGTAATTATCTATCTGTAGTCCATGCCCAGGCAGGAATTTAAGGTTAATCAGGAAAAGGGGCTTGAAAGTGATTCTATTCTTATGAAACATAGATACAAAATAGCTGGCATGTTCAATGTTCAAAGCATGTTGATTTGACCTTTCAAATATAATTTTCCTTCAAGGAAGGCAGAGACTTTTTCACAATCAAAATCAGCCATGATAATATCTCCATTCCTGCATGCAAATGGTATGAAATAGCAGGGTTACTGAAGTACCACAAGCATATATAACTATTCTTGAATAAAAAATTCTTTTATTTACCTTGATTTAGCATCATAAGTGCCTCCAGCTGCCTCAAAATGGGAAACTGCTTGTGCTGAACTTGAAAGTAACCCTTGGTTTATCCACGAAAATCCTGCAGACATATCTAGAGAAAAACATAACTATTTATGATAGTTACTTACATTTTTAAACTTTTTTAAACTTTGCATTCTCTTTGCAGTTAGAATCCCTTAATTTAGTTTAGAAGGTACCAGTAGCTTGAGTTTTCTACTGTAGATGTGTCCTGTTTAATCAAGATGTTATTGTATCCTGTGTTTGTGGATACACTTAAGCCTTGCACTCAGCTTTTCCCTCTGTCTGAAGAAGATTCACCTGGCTGGTGGCTGTATGCAATCACAGTATGTGAAATGACTTCTGGAGTCCTTCATGGACACTTGCTGCCACAGCCTGACCCTGTGAACTGCCCAGACAGCTCCAAGTGCCTTGGCTGCCCCAGCTGATGAAAGTACAAAAGGAAAGGTATTTATCTGGGTTTGAGATAGTGCAGTGAAGGCACCCAGGCAGCCTGTGTGTCACTGTGTGTGCTCCAGTGGCCAAAGGCACTTTCAGCCTGGTGCTCTCACGGCTGCCTCCTCACCCACTTCCTCACCCACTCCCCCAGCCAGAGCTGGGCAGCAGCTCTGAACATGCACAGGCCATGGCAAAGGGCTGGTGCCAGGAATGGCAGAGAGAGCCTGTTGTGCACTGCACATGAGACATGAACGGCCCTCTCCTCCCTAGGGATAGGAAATGCGGGGTTAAGACCATTCAAATGGTCTGGCAATAATGCCAAGTTTCTTTAGGTACTTTGTTAAAAGCCTCCTGAGAGATGTGAAGAGGCTGCTTACAACCCCCACAGTACTTGTTTTGAAATTCCCTAACAAGTTATGCCTGTCAGGTGTTTCCAGTTACGCACATTTCTGCCAAGAGAATCACCAAAACAAGTCTACTGACCCAATTACATTTATAGGATTTTTTTTTGCTTTGCTGTGTGTGTTTTTAATTTGTTTCTTAGATAAGGAATTTCTATTCACCTACCCAAATTCTATCTCTACACAAAGTTAACATCAAAACAAAGTTACCAAGACTGTCTAGCTCTTTTCCATGGTACTTGCATGTGGTTCCAGCTGGGTGCATTAAATCAGAAGTTAGAGTCCTTACTGTCAAATTCTATGTCTAACCAAGCTGCTGTTTTAGACAGCACAGTGGCACTAACTGGGACTGTACTACTCATAATTATCTAGAATTGTTCTACAACAGCAGGTAAGAGGAATAACTGTGTTTGTTACGTACACATTCTCATTTGTCTTTCTGTGTCCTTGTCAAGCTTTGGTTCCTCTAGATTTGGCAGTGCTGCCTAGCACAGGGACTGCTTTAAGCAGGTTGACACAGCCATGTAAATTGGCTCACCATCCACTGGGATGGATCCACAGCTACTTTGGTTTGTGCTGTGGAAAGCTGTTGCAGCAAGGTAATGAAATGTCATGGTACAAGGGTGGTTCCTGGCAGCAGTCCTTGGAACATTATAGCAAAGATTGATAAGTGGCAGTTTTAGGGTGATCTGTGAGGACAGAATAGATAAGAACAGTTAAATGTGGATGGAGCTCAATGTCTTTCATCAAGATTGCCCTAAATGCAGGTTTCGTGTTACACAGAACATGTTCTCACAGCTTCCTCCTGTCTGTGCAGGAGGAGGCTAAACCATTTGGAATGACTGCATTGTATTTAGAGTAATAGAGCTGTACCATGGTGTTGTTCCCTGGTATTTTGAAGGAGTGTACCTGTGTGTACATGTTTAATATTTCAGAAGAATAACAAGACACTGCTAGTGATCTTGTGGTTTATAAACATTTCTGGATAATAGCTCGTTAGTTTTCTTTTTGAAGAGCAAAGTAGAAGCATGGCAGAAGGGTGGTTCATAAAAGCATATCCCTGCCTTGAATGTTCATTGCCTTATATTTCCAAACATAATACATATTTCAATAATATAATATATATTTCAATTTTCCACTGGGCTCTGAGGAGCAAGGGATAAGAAGTTTGTGACAGATGGGGAGTTGAAGCCATTTCCATTATGTAAAAAATGTCAAAACAGAAGTGTGCCTACAATGAAAAGACATTTCTTCTGGCAGTGTAGATCAATTACTAGTAGCTACACTTAAAACCAGGGAAAGCAGTTTGAATAAACCTTCCCATGGTGGTGCAGCCCAATCTAGTAGTGGCATTGTTATATACTAGACATATCTTGTAGCAGATGCACTTGGTAGAAATTGATACTTTATTTGAGAGGGCTCTAAAGCAATACCCTCAATAGCTTTAGCAGTTCATGTACAAATGCTGCATGGGAGTGTTGCTGACATCTGAACAAACTCGCCCAGGCAGTGGGTGCTCTTAGCTCTTTAGTTCCATCTCCAGCCCATTTTCTAGTCATGGCTAATTACACAGGTAAACAGCAGAGCACTTCTTCACACAGGGAAAAAAGCCAAGTCCTAAACTGCACCGCTTTGCTCACTGCCTTTGTGGGATACATTAGGTGAGATGTTGTTACCCCAACTGTTAGTGCCTCAGAAATCTTACTTCCTGCAGATTTTTTAAAATCTGCAGCCTCATTTCTAGTAGCCACAACTCAAATAACAAAGGTGGGACTTGGTTGTGTGTTAAGTGCCTGTAGGATGTGCACAGCCCAAAAAACAGAAATGTTACTCTGGCTGCCGTTCTACGAGTTTACGCTTGTCCCAGGCAGCAAAGTATTTCTGCTCACCCAGCAACCTCACTCCCACCTTTCCCTCTGCTGATTTCAGTCTCTCTCTCTCTCTCTACCCCATTAATTATTGGGTAACACTTCCTTTACAGATAAAAGTTCCTCCAGAAACATGACAAAATGCTGGGCTAAGTTTAAGCTTCAGTGCAGCAAGAATACACTGACAATAACTATAGGAAGTGATAGCAAAAGTGATAGCAAATTTTGGCATTCAGTGCAGCAAGAATACACTGACAATAACTATAGGAAGTGATAGCAAATTTTGGCGGCTCTAGTCCAGTGATGGACCGAAGGAGTTCCAGTCTTGCACGACCTGTTCCGACAGGGGAGGTAAGAGCCCCTGCCTGGGACACCTGTCCTGAAGTCTTTGGACTTGCTTTATTTAGAGAAGTTTAGTTCTCAGGTGGCACCTGCTGGCTTCTGAGGGATTGCACCCAACCAGTTCAAGATGCTCTTTTTCTTTCCTTCTCCTCAGCTTGGGAAGAGCTGTCTTCTTCCAGTTTGCTCTTCTATACATTCAGTTACTCAAAATTAATAGTAACACATGAAAATTTGTTCTTGGTGTCAACTTAGTTATCTAAGAAATAATTTCTTCATAATGCAGCTCACACATCACACTGTTATAAATCAGTGTGTATTAAGTCAACAGGATAAACCTTCCAAAATTAACAGTAAAACAACTGATTAATGTACCAACCATACTAAGTCCCACAAGCCCTGAAATTTACATTTGTAAGTTAATATAATTAAATTTGCTTCAGTTAAGTAAGGTTATGGATTTGATCAGGAACAATATTTAACTTACCTGTGATGTAGCCTTCTAAAGCTTTTGGCACCAGTGATTTTGCAGTTCTTAGGTCCTCAGCTGAGCATTTGCCTGCTTCCAGCCCAAAGGACATTCCCATTCTCTTCAGCACCTCGCTGTCATCGTGAATCTCAAAAGTATTATCGAAATTAAAGAGGTATTCAAATCTGCATGTAAAAAATTAAAAGTGAGATGATTCTGAAGAGCACAGCTGTGCTCTTCTTGCCTGTTCTTTCTGTGGTGGTTTTGGCACGTACTAAGGGTAAGCATCTGGAGTCCTGGTTTTCTGTAAAGGGTCCTTAAGGAAAGAGAAGTGCAATAAATGCTTTCTCTTTTCTGTGACTGGCATGCCTACAGGTTTAAAATGGCACATTCTCAATTAAAACAACTTCACCAGTGCAGGAACAAAGTTTAAAATTTTCTACTTCATTAAGCAGATTGAAAAGGGAAGAGGGAGACCTTAATTAAACATGAACCTTCACTTGCACTAAAGCCAATAAGGTCACCTGAAGCCCTGTCACTAAAATAACTATTTTGTTTTTCTGCTTTTACATTTCACTTTCTGTTCTAATGTGCAACTCTCCTCCTGTGAACTGACCTATTTACTTTGGTATCATTTTGCTTCTTTGGATGCAGCTAGAAAAGCAGTCTGTTCAGAGTCTTGTGTGTTCACAACCCACCGCTTCTGCTGCAGGACCCTCAAAATGTTTTTAACCGCATATAGAAGTGGAAATTGAGATATAAACTTCAGACAGCTTTAAGAAATGCAGGGCCATTTAGGCTGGCCTTACACTGTCATCACAGGTATTAAAAGCCTGGACAGTTCTGGTCTGTAAAATAAGGCTTGGTTCCCAGTACCTCCTTTCCTGCTGACAAAACCTTTATCCTTGGAAAAGCAACTCATCTGTGAGATACAGTCTATAAAAGATAACTGACTGGTGGGTCTTCCATTATCTCTCCAAGCTCATGTCACATGTCATTCTTCTTGCTAGGTTGTTTTCCAATACTTATTTTCTTATACCTGAACCAGGAAACTTGGAAGCTTTACTGCTCTTGAGTTTATACACAGAATTTTTAATTGGCAATCTAATGCTTTGTGCTGGGTGTAATTGTCAGTTACACACAGCATTTCTTCTGTGACTCATACCATATTACCTGTTAACCTACTGTTTATGTACCTTTATTTATTTCAGCATAATCACATTAAGAGGGAAAATAAGATGTGTTGCTATAATTTCAACCAGTACAATTACATTGCTGCTGCCTAAACTGGCACAGCTCAGTGCCATACTGAGCTACTACCAGCAAGCTGTAATTACTGACTCATAACTGAATTCCAATTTATGGCACGGGACCAAAAGCTGCATTTATTGATAGCTCTGCAATTCTCCCATGTCTTGTGGCCAAATACTGGATATTAGAAAGGAAGGTAACTTATTTTCCTTTCCCAGCAAGTTTCCAAATTGAGAAATTTACAGTCTCCAGTATTTTTCCAGTTTAGTTTCTAGCAGCCTGCAGTCACTGATACAGGAAATCCCTACACTTCTTCTATTTTGCTGTTAACAGCTTTTTGAGGATTTTCTTTCAGGCACTTGACGTGACCCCCTTCTGAACTTAAGTAAACTTTTAGCATGAACAAAATAAAATATTACTACTTGCATAGAGTGTTACAAAAACCTTCTTTTTGTCATCACCTGGTATCTTCTCTTAATGCCTCTCAATTTAATAAGCAACTGTGTGCAGCTATTCTCTATACATGTTCACCATATCACTCATGATTTTTGAGACACCTGGGAATCCACTGTCCTCTCCTTCCTAGGCCAAAGAGCCCATCTGTTCTGTCTGTCAAAGCCCTTCCACAGCCTCAGTCCTTCTTGCTGCCCTCCTGTGTCTCTCTTGGTTATGCCATAATTTTTTCCAAGAACATGAGAATGTGTAGTATTCCAGATATAAAGCACTAGATGCATCTAGCTTTACATTGTAGTCTTGCTGGTTTTCCTAGTAATTCCCAGCATGATTTTAGCTGTTACTGAGAAATCAACTTTAGTTCTCACAGGAATTATCTACTGGGCTACCCTGTTGTTATTCAGTACTACAAGCCAGGTCCAGAGGCTGTTAATACTGTGGATGCAAAGTTTGGGTACACTTCCAGTCCCTTTCCCATGCTAAGTGCAAATCTGATCACCAGTGATTTTAACCTGCATTTTCTGCTGCTACAGGCAATTCCTTCTGTAAGGGTACAAGAGGCCACTTCCTACATGTTCTTGCTAATATACAGCATTGTATCTCCAGTGCTGTACAAAATCTTCTGCATTTCCCCTTAGAGATGTTCTAATTTTCCAAGTTTCTGATACATCTATTGTGTCTGAATGCTTGTTTAAAACAAGGTATTCTGGTTACTTTTTCTTTCTTTTTGCTAGGACCAACAGCATTTATCCAGAAGTACCATATATGCTAAATACATTCTTCCTGTTTAAATGGGACCTACTTATTCAGCTGCCTCATCTTTAAAATTAGTTCTTAACTACTTCCTTTTTACCTGAAGACTTTGCTTTTCCTGCTCCGACTTTAGAAATGTCATTCCCAGCATGCTTCTTGGCACCCATCTACCTTCTCAAACCCTAAACAAAACTTGCCTAATAACTTTTTTTTAAAAAAAAATTATTTGTGAAACATTTCACTCTGTTTTGGCTGTTCTTGCATAGGAAAACACTTAGAGGACACAAACCTATTTTCCTTCTGATACTATATCACCCTTATATGTACGACATTTTCAAGCAATTACTTTCCTTTAGAAGTTCCTCTGTAAATTCAATTTTGAGTAGCTAATGCTGTAAGCTTAGCTCTTCATTGGACTTACTAACATCAGTACTTTATATAAATGTTGTTTGGAGAAGAAAGGAAAATGGATGCCCCTTAAAAAGTGGCTTTCAGTCTGGAACCAAGTGCAGAGCAAGCCCTCAAGCTGACCAGTGATGGAGTCAGGCAGCAGAAATATTCTCCAATTAACTCCAGACTGGGACTTCTCCAAACCAAGTCACCACCTTTGCTGACTGCCTTATTTAGCAGATCAGTGTAACAGTGGTTAAAACAGAGCAGTTTCTGGCACTATTTACCTATTACTGCTGCCACTAATTAGTTGCACAAATAATAACCCCAGTGGAAAGCTGGCTTAATTTGGGTTGTACACTTAATGACCTCCAGGTGACATACTACCACAGCTGAGTTATATAAATTAAAGTATCAACAACTTCAGTAATTTTGGTGTGCTCACTTTTAGTAAGAGTTTTCACACAGCTGGAGAGCACAGAAGCATGCTCTGGATCCCAAATGCCAGATTAACCTCTGACAACTCAAAGCAGCAGTTCTGAAGCTTCAGTATGAAATTGTTCTGCTTTTTAACACCTTCAAACCTAAATGGAGAGTCCTGTTTAAAAGAGCAGGAAGACATTTCTAGTGAGACTACAGAATAAGGGTATAATTATGCTAAATCAAAAATGATCCTAAATTTCCTAACTCGCTGAGAGAGTTCTCATGAGAGTATTCCACAAGTTTTGTGACATAATATATTGGACTTCAGCCTAATTTTCTACAAAAATTCAACTTTTAATAGTATTGCTGTTTTGCATGCTGGTGCATGGGTTACTAGAGTCTGTCTATTCTTGCTGTGTGATTGACTTGAAGTTCAGTACAGGATTTGCATACCACAGAGTGAAATCTGTAAGCTACAGTATTAGAGCAAAGCCAGCTATTTTCAGCTAATAAACTGATTGTAAGCCAATTACCAATTAACGTAACAGCACCTCAACTTCAGCCATATTTTCACAGGATGAAGAGCACAAGCACCCACAATTACATAACTGGAAGATTTTCAGATTAAATGTGAATGCAACTGTAGCAGTTTGCTCACAAAGACAGTATTACAAATTTCTGTATCTTCTCCTTCAAAGAACTTTTTGCTATTAAAAAAACTTTCAAAGTTATCATCACCTGGAGCATGTTACTTTTGTGTCACATGGATAATTTGTGTTTCTGACTGTGTGCATTTTTATGGCATACAAAGAGTAAGAATTCACATGGCTGCTTTAAAAGGTAGTGCTGTCCTAGTAAATGGTTTCATTCAGTTTCATTTCTTCTGTGTGGGGAATGCTCTTTGAAATGTCAGCCTGAAGTCCTTTTACAACAGTGAAAGTTGGCCTGTTTTAACTAGGGATTGTAAGGCGGTGTTAATAAACTCATCCATATTATTACTGCAGTTACATTAAATACTGAAAAAAACAACAAGCAACCCCCTGAAGTGACAGTTGCAAATGCAAATATAATAATCACTTCTAGTAAACTAGAAAAATTTCCCTCACTTGTTTGAGGAAAAATTCCAGTTCAAGAAAATAAAATAATAAAAATTAATTTCATAAACACTCACTTATCACTTGATATGCTGCAGTCTATAATTGTTCTTTTGCTAGTGTTGACTATTAAGAAAGGCAGCTGTATTGTGGAGGTCAAAGATGGAGGGCCTTGATTTTGCTGCTCATTTTGCTGATTTCTTTGTACCAAGTTTTTAAATGCTATTTGCTGTAAAACAAAAGAAAGAAAAAATGATCACTGACAATAAAAAAGCAGACATCAGTGTTTTCAGGAAATGAAACCTCATAGGTCTTATTTACCAACTCTTAATACCTTCAGCAATTTTTTGTCAAAAAGTGAGTTGTGGCCTTACTTTCTCTTAGCACTGGTGAAGTTCACCAGGAGCAGAAATTAAACCAAATTTTTGCACACATTTACTATTCCCCTCATATTCCCTGGAGAAGAAACAAGAAAGGAGCAGTAAGGTATGCTGGAGAATGCTTCCCCAATCCCTTTGAAAAGGCTCTGGAGTCAGAGGTCTTCTCTGGTACTTTTTATGTGTAACTGCCTCAGGGTAGGAGATAGCTACACTGAAACAAAAATTCCCCCACTTCCCATATCTGTATTTTTATTCTCTTTCCCTTCTCATCCATCATGTTCTCCTCTCTCTCAAAAGAATTAGTTTGGAAATTCTCCTCTGGGAGTTATTAAGCAGATGCTGTTTGTGACACCATTCTGTGCCTGCTGGTTTCTTGTATCTGACTGCACATGTATGAAAATGTGTGGGTTTAGGAAGTGTTATTTGAGGGACTAGAAGTCAGTGTACTCACCCACCTGAGGCACTGCTTATTCCATTTAAGGGGAAAAAGATGGACAGCCACAGTCTCAAAGGACTGGTAAATCCTTTGGCAATCAACACAATCAGGGCAATAATGACAGTTGTGGACAGTGAGGGAGTCAACTCCATCAATATTTGGACTAAAAGTTAGGAGGGCCTGAGTTGCCTTCTTTTCACTAGTGCAATTTCATATTCCTGTTGGAGGAGCTACTGATGTACTGGTCAGACAGAATCCCAACTGTACCCTAAGCAGAGAAACAGCTTCTGGTGACCAACAAAGAAGAAACATCAGATATTTGAAAGTTTCAGTGAATATCAATTACATTAAAATTGTCTCAGTGTAGCTGAACCAGCAAAAAAATATAGCCTTATTACCTGTAATCTCATAGAATCGTTTGATTACATTTAAATTACTAAAAGTCTGCACAGACTAGATAGAATGTTAAGGAATGCTTGTATAAATGCTATAAAATGTTACTTTCTAAACAAGATGCATTTGAAGTATATTTCAGCAATTAAATCCAAAAGTCATCTCAAAGGTATGTGAAAGTAAAGGTGTTGGATTTGCCAGCCTTCCACTCTTAAGATCCAGAAATGTTTATGTTCCCCAAAACAACTCTGCACACATTTACACAAGTTCTGTTGTGAACGTCATAGCTTAGGTCAAAGAGAAAATTTGAAGAATGACTCAGGGTAGCTCTGGGGGAAATTAAGAGTCAAAAAGGGTACTTGTGAGTTTTTCCCATTCCCAGTGAGGTTGGCAAAGCTTCAGCAGAACTCTTAGGAAAGCTTGTGGCACACGGATGGAGCGTGCTGGTTTCCAGCAGGCAAAACTGAACCACAGAGTGTCACAAGAGGTTCCCCCTACCAGAATCCAGACAGGTCACAGGGGTCAAACTTTTCTCCTTTGTATGTCACAGCTGTTAGTTAAATCTAGAAAGAACTTCAGAAGGTCTAACATGTTGGATTTGCACTTGATATTTTCATTTATGGGGAAAAAAATTAAAATTAAATATACCTGCAGTAGCAGTTCTTGCAGTTGGGCTCGCTTCTGCTTTATCCTTTCAATCCGCTTCTGTTTTTCTATCTTAAAAGATAAATGTAAATGCATCAAGATACTTGGTTACCTTGTCCATTTCCTTGTGCCAAACTGAACAGGCTTTCCTTACAATGGGGGCAAATTGCATGGGCATAAGAGTTTCTCCATTAAAAAGGTCTGGCAGACTGTAATGTTTTTCTTTGTCAACAATTTTAACTCCAGTAAGGATTTAATTATTACAAGAGACTTTTATGTCCCCCCCATTCTGCCTCTGTCTTGCACTGAGTGCAAATTGGCAGCAAATCAAGCACTTGCTCAAGGGGATGCTTTGGGTTTTTTTTTCTTTCTGCCCTCCATTTTTTTGGAATTGTGCATGCCCCACTGTTCTCCTAGCTGCAAGCTACTAGACATAAATATATGGAGGTTGGGCTTATGATCACCTGTATCTTACCAGTGACCTCCACTTTTTGTTTGACACTTGATTCACCTGACAAGACTGCAGCAACAAAAAGGGTTGAGGTACCATTTTCAATGGGAGCACAGCTCTTGCAGCAGTTCAGTTACTGCTGGCTGGTGTGGCCAAGCTCTGTGCCCAGGACACGCAGGGCTGGGACAGGCCAGAGCTGACCCTGCAGGCACAGCAGTGCTTGAAGTGTCCTCTGGGGCAGTGCTGAAGGACTGGACAGCAGTCATTGGGGCTGAAAGGGCTTTTTGCTCATCATCCTCTTTGGTGCCAGCACTATGTCACTGGCTCCCAAAATACTAGACTCTTAAATTACCTTTTCATTCAAGTGCTGAAACTAAATAATGTGCTCTTTTAAAACTTAGCTGGCCCAAACTCCTCTCTATCTTATTTACAAGGTTGCTTTTCTCCTGCCACACTCACACACTTTAATGTTTAACATGCATCTTTCAGTTGGCTTTCTGTGCTGGGACTCTTAGAACCAGTAAGCAGTACAGATATCATTCAGGCATCGTTTCTATATAACGAGCTCTTTTCATTGATTTTTGTGCTAGTAATCTTATTACGGATTTACATTGTAAGAACAGTTGCCACTTTATACAGCCTTAAAAGCAAAATTAATTCTGATTTTCACACCATGAAAATGCAGCTTTGTTTTACATTATTTTCTATTATGTCAGAGGAAGCAACATTTTTTGAAAAATATGCCTGGCTTCCATTTTGTGCATGTATAATCAGAGCCTGAAACAGTGAATTGCATATGATTATTGAAGATGAGACAATGAAATTCAAGTTCCATATTTATAACAATACCCTATACTGGAGACAATGCATTCACATGAATGCATGCAAAATGTAGATTCATCCAGAATTTAAAAAAAACATCCTGGAGCATAATGATTGAACACATCCTTGGATGGATGTATTTTTCAAGTTACTGTAATGCAAAAGGACAGTAAAAGCTTTTCTCCTACCACATCTAGAAAGACAATTGATGTAAATGACCCTGCACACAAAGAACTGTTCTGTACTGCAGAGGCACCCACCCACCTTTTAAGATACCTAATGTTCAAGTGTCACCAAGGGAGATGTATTTGCAGACAGCCGTTACAGCAGGCTGCAGTAAATACAGTGATTTGTGCTTTTTATTTATAGCACATTTGGCCTGAAGGACAGGCAACATTTGTGCACATAAATTCTGGCATCCCTACAAAAAACACTGTAACTCTTAGAGGGCTGAAAAAATAATAGAAATAACTGATAAGTAAAACTTCTTCTTGCTTTCTCTGGCAGATCATAAATAGTATTTGACATTCCAGCAGGAATTATTTTTCAATTTAATTCCCTTTGAATTATCTTTCCAAGTACAGACATTAATAGAGAATTGGTCTCATTTTAAATGTAAACCATTTTGTGACCATAACTGAACCATAAATTCTTTTGACTTTCTTCTGGTACTACAGACTTTAATCTTAAAAATAATCCCCGATTTAATCAATGACCATTTTTGTAAAGTAAACAGCTTAGCTTTTTTAAGAAACTAGATATAATGTATACTAAATGAAACTGAACTAAGCATGCACAAACATCTTTTTGCAGTTTATTCCAATATCAAAATTTGTATTTCCATAGTGCACAAACATCAAAACCAATCAGGTTCAAATTAAGAAAAAAAAATCCCTCTTCTAAAGAAGAGCAAGTGAATTATCACAACATGTGAACAAACCAGAATTTCCCATGTACCTCCCTTTACCTCTAGATTCTGACATTCCTGAGCTGAGTTTGTGGGAAGGCCGATCCACCGGATTTCCTTCTTCTCCTTTGAAATGATGTTCATTGCCATCAGGACGTTGAGGGCATCGTAAACTCTCCGTCTAATATTCTTCTGATCATAGGCCTGCTAAGAAACCAACACAACGCTAATTACAACCACAGAACTGAATTAAAAAAGGAAAACCAATTGAACTCATCTTCCACAGACATGGAGAAGATCAAATGCCAAATGGCAGTTCTGGTCAGAGTGGTGTGAAACCACAATCCTCCATCTGTGATACCCCCTGGACACCACATGAGCATGCTTGGCTGCAAATGGAAGCTTCAGGCCTTCCTGAAGCATCTCTGCAGGAAATTCCATCATGACAACTCTGGCACAGTTGAAAAGCCTGACAAGATCACATGTACAAGAGTAGCCTTTTCTTAAAGTGAATTATTCTGGCAGATTCCTCTACTTTGTTATAATTTAGAGGGAGTTCAATTCTTCATCTCAATTCTATATTTTTAGATTTCAAAGGGTAAGTCTTTATATTTGAGAACTAGTTAAGTGAAGGAGTGTATGGACTGTGGCAGGACAGTGCAGAAACAGAATTCCATGATAAAGCAGACAAATCTGTATTGGTATAACAAAATTCACCACATATTTGCTTACTGAATCGGTTGCGAGGTGGCTGTTAGAATTTGTGAATTCTGATACGAGCTCATCAGCGACTTCATTGTACGAAGTTGTTCCTTTGCGTTGAACTTTTTCACAAACTTTCATTGAAAAATGCCTCAGACCCTTCCCATTTTTATCTCCTTTCTTGCTTCTCTTACTGAAAAGAGAAAAGTATTATTTTAATACACTGAATGTTAATAAGCTACTTTGTTACACAGAAAAAGGTCTGCATTTTGTAACAGAAATCTGGATGATCTAAATGAAAAATAAAAGTTTTGCATCAATTTCTTGTTTCTTAGAAGTTGGCAAAAAAGTGCACCAGAGCCCCTTCCCCTTTCTTGACTATTTCTAAATTGGTAGCATTTGAGCACATGCTACTGGGAAGATGCTTAAAATGGATTTGTAATTCATATCCAGGTAGTCTCACAAAAGAACAACCAAAAAAATGATGAAAACCCCACAAGGTGCTTATGTATGTGGAGGCCATGTTTATGTGAAGCTCTCATATGTGTGCCTAAATTAGAAAGGCTCAGACATCTCTATGGAATATACAGCAGGAGATACCAAACTTGGTCATTAGGGGAATTAAGGTGTGTCCATCATAGAATATATCCACATAAATACATCATAGTATATATACATATATACATATATACATATATATACACACACATCATAGTATATATAGATATATACATACATACACATATATATATGTATGTAATACACACACACATATATATATGTATGTATATACACACACATCACAGTATATATACATATATATACATCTATTCTATGATGTATCCATCACAGAACAGATACAAGAATCTCTTTTATGGAGAGTAAGTACAAAGTCATTAAGGGCTTTAAGATGCCAAATTAAGAATTGGCAAACTGTCAGGGTTATTTTCCATTCACTTTTTTCCAGAAAAGGTAAGGGAAATAGAAAAAAACCAGGAGCAGTTGTTTTTATCACACAAACTAGATCTGGATGTGTAATTCAATAGAAGCCTTTAAAAAGTTCAGCTGTGTTGTTTTTGTTTTTTCTTTTTTTTTTTTAATTAGTCTCATGGTTTCATTTGACAATGTGTTCCAGGGAGAACTGTTATTTTACAGAAAAAAGGGTCCTGTCAGCAGTAAAAAGCAAAAGAAACTATTAAAAAAAACAAGAATGGTTTTCAAAATTGCGAATGTATCTAAGAAAACAGAATACACGTAAAAGAAACAAAAAAGAGTAAAAAGGAACACCAGCAGACTAAAAAAAGCCCAACACAGCTTTGAGTGAAAACTGCTGAAAGCAGGAACTGGGCAGTTATGTTTCTGAAAGACAAATCCAAAGTAAAGCAGGTAAAAGGTGTGGTATAGCAGGTATTTATACATAAAATACACATTCAGAAACACTCACCTTTCTGAAAAATCTGACTCTATAATTTCTTGAGTCCGTTTCCGCTCCCTACAACAAGACAATTCAAACTTAAGTTGAAAATACCATTATATCTATGGACCACTAAAATCAGTGTCTGTGGGGCCTAGCTGGTTCTAGTGTTTGCTGTTACATGTTTACTGAAAGGGAAAAATACAACACACAGAGCTTGACAAAATTTGAGGGAAGGTGGTTAGGACTTGTGGAGGAAGTTTGTGGAGCTCACTGCCAGACAAATTCTATTCCAAATTTTACCATGCTTTGCCCACAGGAATTAAGGGAAGTCACTTCACCTGGAACTACAGGAAGTGTGCTGGTGTGAGCTCGATGTCCAAAGTCCATCAAAATGGAGAAGCTGGGCTGCTCTGAAAATTCCTATTTAAAATTCCTCCATATGGAAGAAAAATGTCTTTAAACAGTGCTTAAAATATATTCTCTATTTTCAAGCCAGTGAATGTTTAGGAATCTTTAAACAAAACCCCAAGGTTAAATACTAAACATATTCCTGTTAGAGCTGATGCATACAGAGCTGAAGACAGACTCTGAAGAAGCAGCTGCCATGAATTTTCAACAGCAGCAGCAGGCTGCAATCATTGGCCATTCCTTATCCTCCAGTTTATTCCCCACAGCAAGCAGGAGCTGCTTTCCAGCCCAAGGCAGGGCCCCAGAACTGTGCTGAGCTGGGGCACATTGTGCCCCTGTGCTTTCCAAAGCTGGGCTCCCAGCACAGACTTACACACTGAACACCTGACACTGCTGGGAAGGAAACTAAACAAAAATGATGGGTTTGAAAACCTGTGCTTGAAAGCCAGCACTCTTTGTTTGTGTGATCCAGAATGCACAACCAGGCCTCTCCCTCGGCAGCACCACAGGGATTTCTGTCCGTGGTGCTTAACTGGGGCTGAGCAGCTGGGGCCGGGGTGCCCTGGGCTGGCAGTCAGTGAGCTGTGCCCTGCTCTGCACACCAGGCTGCCAGAGCCTGTGCCAGCCCTGCCACTGAACGTGTTCCTCTCATTTTGGAAATAATTTGGAGTCTGTGAAGTAAACAATGGGGAAAGCAAGCAGTCTTCTGAAGTGTCTTCAGCAACAGCTCACTACCTCAGTTCAGGAATCCCACAGACCCTTCCTAAGCTCTGTTCCTCAAATGAAAATATGGCCTATTGCATGGACTTCTGCTTGCATCACTATTGACTCGTCTGTCTGGAGTCACCTCGAGACTTTTATAGATGAAGCAAAAGATTAAGCTCATTGGAAGTCCTGTGACTCGACTTGGACAGTACACAAACAGAAGGATGGTGCTGCTTGGTGGTCGTGGTTGATGCACTGCCACAAGGCTGCTCTGGGAATCCCCACCACTGAAAAGCACATGCCATACTCCAGTTAGTTGTGCAAGAACTAGAAACTGTAGGCCAGCACAGATTCAACAGTATAAATAATGGAAAAGAGCAGAAGAGATGCTCAGCCATCTTTAAGTGAGACAAAGGCTTACCCTGGGACCCAGCCGGACGCCTCCGTTATGTGTGTCTGAGTGACCATGGCTGGAGCGGGGCTGTACGGGCTCCCAATCAGAACACCCCCTGAGCTGCTCAGTCTTTGTGGTGTGCTTATGATCTGTAAAATTTAGCAATAAAAACCACAGCTCTCTAAAGAAAACAGAGGTAACTACAGCCCAAAATTCATACTGAGCATTGCACTAAGTAATAATAATTCTGTACCAGAAGCAGTCACAGTATACAGAAGAGATGGCATCAGAAGATCTTCATGCAGCAAAGCCATTACAGCTTGGCTACAACTGCCAAGCTTCCTATTAGTTGTACCACATTACTGTATCATTCACATGGACAAGAACCAGACAAATGATTCCAAGTAATTCCTAGGTATGGCAGATAGGATCTGTACCTACAGCCACCCAATTATTTCTTCATGAGTACATCTAGGCAACTTCTTGATCAATGTAATCAATACAGCCTTCTTTCTTTCCAATGGATTTGTCTCTTCTAATTGTCTATACAAAAGACAGTCTGAGCTGCAGGCAAAGCATTTCCTGCAGCTTCTAGCATTCACAAGATCCCAAGGGACTCTGGCAATGAATTGTACCTACAGAATTCAATGTAAAGTCTCTATGGTATAGATAGAATTTACATTTATGCAAACCTGCTGAAACTGTAGACACACTGGTTAACACTGACACCCAGTCTCAACTTTTAAATCACATCCAAGTTCATTTTCAAAGTAGGTTACCAGAATAATTTAAATATTATTTAAAAATGAAACAGTATTGAAAAAGCTAATCTTTAAAATAAAGCAAATTTAATTATTTTGATTCCATGATGGTAAGATTCAAATCAAAGCTTCTTGGACAGTGCTTTCCACTCCTGTATCTTACCTAATATTTTAAAACTTTGTTTTATTTTACTACATTTATTTTTGAATAGTGACTGTACTAAACTTTGTGATTTCCTTTACTATTTAACTTATTTAACACCTGTGTAAGCATCCCAAGGCCCTCAGGTAACTAACTGTTGTAAGTATATGCTGTAAGTATAGAGCAGATATATAGGTACTGCAAGTGTGTACATATATATATGCATATATATACAAACTAGAGATAAGTATACAGCATTTATATGGTATCCATCACTGTTGTTTAGAGAAGTAGAAAAATGTTATGTGAAGAATTCCCCATTTCCTTAGCTCATTGGGCATTACTTCACATCTGCCCTGGTACCACGTTTGACTACATACACGTCTTTTTTGTTTTAAAGATATAAATTATCTCATTTATTGTTTGCAAATGTACAGCTTGACAGAACCCAGGGAAAAGAGAACTTCAGAGAAACCAAAACACAGGTACAGGTTATGTATTTCCTGGTTGGGGCTGGAGAACCAAAGTCACCTGGCTTTAGCCATTGCAGGCAGGCACAGGAAAGGTCACTTCTGTCACCCGGCTGCTGCTCCGGCCTGGGCAGAGGTGCCAGGGGCTGTGACTGGGCAGAGGTGACAGGAGCTCAGCCGTGGCCGCAGGTGTCAGTGGCTGTGACAGGTGCCAGGGGCTGGTTGGTGACAGGAGCTCGGCCGTGGCCGCAGGTGCCAGGGGCTGTGACTGGGCAGAGGTGACAGGAGCTCAGCCGTGGCCGCAGGTGTCAGTGGCTGTGACAGGTGCCAGGGGCTGGTTGGTGACAGGAGCTCGGCCGTGGCCGCAGGTGCCAGGGGCTGTGGCAGGTGCCAGGGGCCGGTTGGTGTGACAGGAACACGGCTGTGCCCGCAGGTGCCAGGGGCTGTGGCAGGTGCCAGGGGCCGGTCGGTGACAGGAGCACGGCTGTGCCCGCAGGTGCCAGCGGCCCGGGGCACCGAGAGCCCGGCCCGGCCCGGCCCGCGCTGCCCTCTGGCGGCACGCGGCCGCTCCTGCAGCGGCTCTGCGCCGCTTGAAGGACCCGGAGCGGCCCCAGGGCCTGGAAGCCACGGTGGGGAAATAAGGCCTAAATAAATAAATTAATCAAGCAGGGTGTTGCTGACACAGGCAGATGCTGAGGGAGCGCTAACATTGCCACTACTGAGAGCTCGGGAGCGTTGGCTTTTAAACAGCCTGGCACAACACAGCTGCATGCTGGGTGTCTTGGAAAGCCTGCGTTAATGGCTATTCATTAAGAAAATGTTTTCTGAATATAGATCTGTTCTTGCAAAGCAGCAGAATAAAAGGATTTAAAAAAACCAAAAAAAAAAGAGAATAAAAATGGTGTGTTTCACATCACACAGTAGCTTTTGCAACTTCTACCTGCTGTAGAACCTGAACTGCAAGCAGGGCTCACTGAAACCAAAAGCAGGGCTTGAGAAGTCAGTCATAAGAGTAGGAGTGCATTAAGTGAGTGCTCTCCCTGTTGTGGGCTGTTTATTGCACTGGCAGGACACATCCTCAGGGGCAGAACTGTTCCAGTGCAGTGCCACAGGGCACAGCCTGTGAGGCAGCTGTTCCTGGCAGGCAGCCCCCTGGCCATGCTGGGGACAGAGCTGTGTGAGCAGCGAGTGCCACGGGGCTGGCTGTGACGTGTGTGCCCCTATGCCCAGCTGGGACAAACCCCCAGAGAACACTGCTCAGGTCAAAAAGGCCCAACGCCATTTTTATGAAACACATCAAACTGCTCTGTACTCAGGCTAAGTGCTTGGCAGGAGGCATCAGGTTACTAGAAACTGTTCACAGTATTGCCTATTTAGCTCCCTGGCCACCAGTAACTCTAATTTTTTTCTCAAAACTAGATCCAAAATCCCTGGAACATCAATATACATATACAATTATCATGGACAGGAAAAGAGAGTTTTAAGAAGAGTAGTTTCAACAAGTTTAGAATTTCTACTAACACATCAAAGACATTCTCTGACAATTCTGGAGATTTACTGGTGAGAACATGACTCAAAACATTCAAAGTGTATCCTCTCAAATAATGAGGGGATTTTCTTAATACACTTTGAGTAATAGTTAAAGTGTCAGCTGGTAAAGCTGTTTCAATTTCCAGTGAAAGCCCAGGAGACAGGTACCCCCTAAGGGCACACACAAGGGCACTGCTGGGAGTGGCAGTTCGGGCATGCCAGGCCTGCTGTGCCCCCAGGCCAGCACCCTCCCATCCAGGTGGGGAACTGTGGCTGAGGCAGGAAGCAGCAAGTTCCTCTCGTGTTCCTGTCTTACACCACCAGGAAGTCACAGCCAGTTGCACAAGCTGGCATTACTGGGGTTGCAAAACTTACCATTTGGGGTCCAACATTCACATTGATTGGTCCCAAGGTTTTTGGCAAAATCTTAGTCGGAGAGTTGGTGCTGGAAACTGGCAATGTGATTACTGAAATATTACCTAAAAAGAATGGTAAAAGGAGACTTTTAAATTATTTCCTTAGTAACGTGTGAAAAACACTTTAACAAATTCTCACATCACTCTAACGCTTTGGAATCAGGTTGGCTTTGTTTCATTTGCTGTGAACACACGCTCAGGTAACCTCCAGACCTCTCAGCAGATGTCACAAGGACACCTCACAAAATTACACCTTCACTATTTTACTTTTATTATTTTTTATTACATGTATTTTATTTTCAGAAACAATTTATTCTTGCTTAAGACAAAGAGCACACAGCCTGACATTCCTCAGCATTAGAAGTGAAAATTAATAAGAATACTTCTAAAAGAAGCCAACATACAAATCCCACTTACAATCATAATCACGTGTACAAAATATGCATCCCTAAACCTTCAAAGCCTTAACCATTCCTCACCTGACTGTCCCAGAGCGTTCCACAGTCATTGCTGATGTAAGCCAAGCACAGCCTGCCCTGTACAGATGGAAGTGATGCCTTTAGAACTCACCTACAGTCGCAGAGCAGGCAGCCGGATGTCACAGTAAAGTCTCCTGTGCCATCTCCAGTGCAGGGTGTTCTCATCCCAAGATGTTTATCATTTCTGTGATCCCAAACTGCTTATGGATCTAAATCATCCTGCCTTCCACAGAGAAGAGCAGCTCTATGCTGACAGCCCCAAAATACTGCTGCTCCTCCTCTATCCCAAACTGCATCTTGTATCTCGATTATTTGGAATTAATGTTTAAAGCAAAACTGTTGCAGCACCACTGCTACTCCTTGGGTGTTCAAACTGTTGTGCACAAGCCACTCAAAGTCCTGAGCATAGTGGCTTATCCAAGTGCCACAGTGGTGGCAGCAGCTCCTTCCTCTGTGACAGCTTCACATCAGGAGAGCTGGCACCGATCAGTGAAACACCAGCCCCTGTTCCTACACACAGCCTGGGGAGGGATGGGCTCTGAGGCACAGCCACATGGAAGGGAGAGCTGCCACTGCCTGTAATCCAGAGTCAGCCGGGGTCTAGCTGGGATCATGAGGACAAGGAGAGGTTCCTGGAGAGCTACTCATGTTCTCTGGCACTGCAGACAGCAGCTGAAGGCATCTGAGGTGACAGGTCCCTTCAGAGCAGCACAGGCACCAGCCCTCTCCCACAGGAGCCAGCCAACACTCAGCTTAGCCCACATGGCCCAGGCTGACTCAGTGCTGCTACACATCCCTGCTCCCCCGTCTCTTCTCACATCACCTGTTCACCTCCACTGCCCAGTTTTCTTTTCTCACTTGGTCCTGAATCATGGTCTCTTTTTTTACATTTTATTTTAGTACACCTGTTTTCCATGAGGTTACTGAAAAATTATAAATTCAACAAAGTAACCTCTCTGCAATAGGAAGCAGAAGCAACACAACTGAGAGGAAAAAGGATCTTATCTTCTGTAGTTACAGCACAGAAGTAGAAAAGATGTAGATTTATGTGAAGTCTCACCTTCATAAGAAATATTCAACGGATATATGAGAAATACAAACAAATTGAAACTAGGATGTTCTAATGTTCTGTGTTGATTCTTTTGGCATCTGGAGTAATACTACTACTTAATATTAATTTTCCAAAAGGGAAATCTATGTCTGAAAACATCTTCAGAAGCAGCTTGCATCTCTACTCAATAAAATGAATCAATTATTCACTCATGTAACTCACCTAGAAAAACAAATATAAACCTTCCACACTTGCAAACCCACTCCCTCCAGTAAATCTTTGCTCTGTTATGAAACATCTTTTGTGGGGTAGTGCCAGAGAGCACAAGACAATAATTCATTATTTACATACACTGTGTTCCCATGCTGAGCTGAACAGTTCTCTCACTTGCCAGTTTTACTTTTGCTATAGGATTTTGCCCAGGATTTCCCAAGCTGTGCCAGCGTATTCCATCAAAACCTAGTCTCTCCCCTCATTCCAGGCTGTTGCCATCAATGACGTGTCACTTCCAGCACTGCTGTAGGAATTTTCCTCTTTTCTGCTGCAACTGAAACTTTTGACCCCTCTACCTCCAAGATCAGCTCTCACACTATTTCTCCTTGTCCCTTTTCTTACCAGGGAAAAGAAATAAATTCCTTTCTCTGGTGTTGACAGCGTAAGGCCACATGGCCAAGTGCAGTAAAATTGTGCAATGTCGGTTTTGGCTCGCAGCTCCTTCACCACAGGGCTACCCCCCAGAGCTGCCTGCAGCTGCTCCTCCCAGGCTGCAGGAGGCCCTGGGCTATCGTGTGTCCGTGCCAGGGTGGCCTGTGGGGCTCACAGCACTGGCAGTGCACAGGGCAATGCACAGGGCCACCCACCCCATCCAGCTCCGGGCACAGCCTGCTCCCCTCCCAGCAGCTGCCAGCCTGGCATCCACGGCATCCACGGGATCCAGCTGCACCTGTGCCTGCTGAGAACACTCATGGATGGACTTCCCTCACACACACATGCAGAGCCATGGCCAAAGCCACACAGACCCACCAGATTCACTGAGCAGCCTGGGAAAAACCACTAATAAACCACTAATTAGCAGCTACTGCTGCACTGTGCCTTCATTTACAAGGCTCCCTGGATCATGGAACACTGTCACCACTGGGGTAACTTCAGTAAATACAAGGGTCATTCAAATGACCTGATCTTGATTTTAAATAGACATTTGCTTACATTTGGTGTGTGTTTATATGGCTTTTTGGACAGTTACTGTCAATAAAAAAGATTTTCATCTTCTAATCCCTACACAAATCCCTCATTTGGCAGCAGTACTGTCAAAACAATCTTAAGAGTTGACCAAGTTGTCAAGAAATGTTTCCCTGCCCTTGTTCTTACTTTTAATTTTCTTCATTGGCAAATATAAATATGTGGATGTGTAGATTTTAAAATACAGATAGGATGAAAAAGAACCAGTTTGTTTTTATAAGTGAGGTATTTCTTATCCACAGTGGCCAGAAAGAAAGAACAACCAAATTCTTCACAGTAAGAGGTTGCTTTTTGTGTTTGTCAGCAGTTGAAAACATAGTAAACAAAGTTTTATCAATTACAAATAAAATATTCCTCCCTACCATTTTCTTTTTTCCCAAATAGCATCATGTTGTAGCTACTCATGTAACCTCAATTGCTTCAAATATTATTATTATATCATTATATTATTATATTTAGGAGGAAGCAGATGCGACAAAACATTCAACAGATTTCAATATTCAACTGAAAGCAGAAATATCATCAAACTAACTATATATACTATCACAAAGCAACTGCAAAGGCTTTAAACATGACCAAATTCTAACTAAATGCCAAGTCTTAATAAGACCCATCATTTGGGGACAAAAAAGATTACACTGATTTATGTCCCGGGCACAAGAGCAGTGAGTACAGTGATAAGCTGGACACAATGAGACCCATCAGCCTCGAGTCACGGTAATCTCACTGCACGGATGGAAAAGGTCAGCACAGATGGATCAAACTGCAATGATTTGTATAATAATACTCAGTTCTTATATAATGTTTCTCAGCAGTACTTTCAAGGCACAAAGGAGGTCAGTGTCATTATTCCTATTTACCTACGGAAAACCAAGCACATGGGAAAGAAACCCACTTAAAACTCTCATAGGGAGGCTTTAACTGCAATACACAGAGAGCCATCCCAAACTGAGCCTCCCCAGCACTGAAGCAAATTCAGAATAACAATCCGACTGTGGAGATATATATATATATATATATGTGTGTGTGTATGTTTCTCTCAGAACAAAAGTGCTTTGCTTCTACATAAATTATTTTTCCATTCTTCAGTTGCCACTATTGTTGCTTCTCAGGGAGAGAAATCAGTGTTGCTATAATTTCATATTTTTACAAACCATCATTGCTACATAACTATTATTCTTCCTGACATTTGTGCAATAATTTTACTGGCGCACAAAAAGAAAAAATCAATTTAAATGATCTTCAGCTTGAAGCAGTCACAGATAAAGTTACTCATGTTTATGTACATGTATGCTCACATGCACACACAAAGCAGCTCACCAAACTCAGTTTAAATCATTATGTGCCACCCTAAAAAGGTCTAATTTCACATAAACAACATGCATTCCTATACAAATACGAAGCTAAAGAGATGTTAGTGATTTTTTTTCCCCTGTATAACTAAATCTGTTAGGTCTGCAGCTCAGTTACAAAGATAATCAGAAACAATTCAACTGGAGAATCTATAGAATCTGTCACAGCCAGTTTGAAGGAGACCATGGCTGATGGGGAGCATAGCCCAACCAGCTGGGGCTACACACAAAGCTTACATCAACAAAAAACCCATTGAATTTTCAAACAAAACACCAGGGAAGTGGTGGTAATTTGGATTTCATATTCAGAGCTCTAAACAAATGTCCACTTTTTAAATGTGTCTCAATGAACAGCCATTTTTAATAATACAGCCTACAGCTTGACAATGATGGCAAAAACCCCAGCTCAGAGCTGTGAGACATCAGCAGCCCATTAGGATATTTTGGAATAACATATGTGATGTGTCCTCAGGATCTTCTAATACACTAAGATAGATCAGTAAATTTACTGATCTCCAAGATCAGTATGATAAAAGCATATAGAAAAATGGAATTATTATTGCATTATTAGTACACAAGTATTTTCTTGGTAAATTTCTTTGCATTGCACAAAATTACTGGGCTACAAACCTAAATTTAAAAATTCCATAGAGATGAAATCAAAGAGATCTGTAGAAAAGAAAAAATAAAATGGGGCAGACAATTTTTCAATGTACTTCAGGCTTACACTGAGCAGTACAATTTCAGTCTTTTACTGTTCAATTTGAGACAAATCTGCAGGAGTTAACAGCTGTATGAATCTGAAAGTACCAGGCACAGGTCTATGGATTACTGCTTTTGATGTCTTGGTCATTTTAGCAGATCTCTTCAAGCATACAATGAAGTAGTTCTCTTACAGCAGCCCTGAGCAGTAAGTTTTTAAAACACCAGTCCTGTCAGGACAAAGGCCTCCACCAGTTTGTCATGTTCTGAAAAGTTTAGAAAACTAGGAAGATACTGTAGCTCCAGCCATTTTCTGTTTAGCTGTCTCAGTTTTTCAGTCTCTTAGGTTTGATGGCATCAGCCAAAAATCAACCTTCCTGCTACTACATGCACTGGATTATTGCAGTGGATAACAGCAAACCAGTATTTACTTTGAAAGGTTGATTGAAATGTTTCCTGAACTGCAAATCCTTGAGTCTTCTAATATAAATAAGGGGTTTGTTTTACTGGAATACCATAGCTGTTATGACTGATCATAAATTGTTTTTGAGTCAAAAGTGATTAATCTAGAAGTGCTAAGATAAAACAGGACAGGACAAAACATAATTATTATTGTAAATTGTGCAGAACATTTAGAAAGAAGTATGACAACATGTTTTAGCCTTCTCTGTCATTTCTGTCACAGAATCAGGGAATTTTAAGGGTGGACTAGAAATCAGGAAATTCAGCATATTAGTCACCATTGAGGAATGAAAAAAAAGGGCTTATGTTATCCTCTTATTATTTTTATTACACCTTCTTTTCTCCTCTGAAATCCTGAAGACCTTCCCATCTTTGTACTGACACTTACATGTCAGTATTAAACAACTACTGGTGGGGATGTTTATTTTGAACATTTAAATTCTGAGTATCCCAAATATGAATCAATCATATATTGCAGTGAAGGAAGTCTTAATGTATGTATTGAATAGAATTCTCTTACCTTTTGTTGGACTCTGGTTCTGATCTATAAATCCTTTCAAGTCTCCATTTGTGGAAGTCACACCAACCTGAACAAAACATTTACGGAGTCTTAAAATATGATAAACCTTTCTATGTTTTCTATAATGCAATAATATTATGAAAGCAACTTTGTGCATTATGAAATATCATAATCCTATGGACAGTAGAGTCTTACAAGTGTATGAGACTCAAGGCAAGATATGCAGGACATTTGGAAAGTCTATTTTCAACTAAGTTGTTACCTAAAACCACCCTGAATATTCTGACTGTGTACTACATGTACCCAAGCAGCCCATTCTGGCTATTATGGGGTAAGGCACCATCCCCTCCAAGTCAAAGGCCACCAATAACACAGCAGAAATCTGCCCGTGCCCAATTGCCTCCGCACTCAGCTGCACAGTCTGCAGCTATGAGATGTGCCTTGAAGCATTCTAAATACATTCCCTACTCTTCAGAGATACACTGATTTACTGAGGGGAAGTTACTGGGGACATGGAAAACTTAAATCTTATACAGAATGGTGCAACTCAGACTTTAGCATGCACACAAAGCATAGGAAGGTGTAGTTTGTACAGAAAAATACAAGATCATCTTGGATGAGGAAGGGAAGAGGTGGGAAGTCCCTCATATATCAACTTCTTTTAAAAATATTATAAAATTTCACTATTTCTGTAAATCATTGGGACAAATGGGTCCACTATCCAAGTTAAAAGGAGGCAATCATATGATGAAGGATCAAACATTTTGCTTTATTTTACAGATATATGTAGCAATAATGGAACCTATGCTAGGGCCACTTCAAAAATTTTAACATACTCCAGTCAGAGCATCATTTAATTTTAGGTAAATTAAACTTAACTGAAATAAACTACACAAAAGAATATCTACTATAAGCATTCAGTCTCTCAATTCTGATTAGAAACCTTGTATTCAGCAGATAATTTTTGTAGGGGAAAATCTGCACACAGCATTGTGACAGTCTCTTGAGAATACTTCTGCTCAGATTTTTTCCCCATCAGGAGACACGTAAGAAGATGAACTGCTCCTGCACTGCTGTGATTGTAAAACACTGCCCAGATGAGCTCAGTTGTGCTGCTATAAACAAACCCTTCGAGATGCTCAGCACAGCCCTCAGTTCATTCAGGCACTGTCACATCGGAGTGGCTCTTTCCTGCCCTTCCTGGCACACCCAGCCGGATCCTCCTGCACCGGCAGGCGCTGTGGTGTCCCCAGACTGTGTCCAAGGGCTGTCCCACCTTCCCTGCCACTCCCGGGCTGTCTCCCAGCAGGTGGCACCGGTGCAGCAGCGATGCAGCAGCGCTGGGGAGGGCCCGGGCTGGAGCAGGGCAAAGGGAGGAAGACATGAAACAAACCACAACATCTCCTCAGCACAGTTTGGAAGCAGATCCAGGAAAAGAGCAGCACTCCAGGACCTCTTGAGCATGGGCATAAGGGACACTGGTGTGGTAGGAGGCCACTGTGGCTCCTCACACTGAGGATGTGCTCTGGAGGAGAGGTTTAACCAGAGGCTGGGAACTGCACAGGGCAAGGCACTGCAAGGGAGGGGAAGAGGCTCTGCTGGCTCACACCTCTGCTGCTCACACCAACAACAGTGCCAGCTTCTCCCAGCACCCCTGCCTGCCTCTGCAGCAAGTACAGCAACACAAATGGGAGAAATTTTAAATTCAGGGAAAGAATAGGGGTCCACGGGGATAAATATTATGTTAGATTATGGGCCTCAACTCATTGCAAGAGAAGGGATTACAAGGAACATCTTCAAAGACAGCACTGAAATTTGTTCACAATTGAACATTCAGATCCAAATCCACAACTGTACATTTCCCTATTAATTCAGATCAGTGTTGTAATCAAACACTGAAGATGACGTACATATAGTGTCAGAATGAAGATTCTAACTTCTGCATTTAATTCTATAAAAGATTGTGTGTATTTTGTACTTTTAGTGATCCAAATGACACAAAATTATAGAACTTCAGTTTGCACAGAAATATGTTGTTTTCATTACAATGATCCTAGTAGCACATTTATAAAGAGCAGCACTTTTCTCAATTTTACAATCCTTGTATCTAAGTTTAGAAGACCTTGAAAACAAACTTGAATTTCATGAGAACTGAAGTGAGAAATAATGTGGCAGATCTAAAGGAATTTGTTTCTCCTGAATAAGAATGATCCTAACTAAGTCCTCAGAACAAGCAATGTGTGATGCAACATGACAATACTGCTGCACAGCAAGGCCTTTACAGGATTCCATCTCAGTGTTCAAGAGGTCCCAGGCCATGTTGTTATCTGACACAGATCACACACTGCTTTTGGGAATCTTATACTGTAACAACCCCTAAGCTGAAACCGGTACACAATCCAATGCTTAACGGGTATCATTTGTTACTTTCTGTACTGCTGCTGTGATATTTCTGCTTTATAACAGTGGCCCAGAGGGTCTGGATTGCTGGGCATGGCAGGAGCTGGACTCCTGCTCCTGTTCATCTGCAGCACAAGGAATGCAGCCACGATGGAAGATGAAGAAAGGACTTGGCAGGCCTTTGCACACTACTGAATATCTTAGAGGTTTGTTTGCCTTTGCTGTTAGGTGACTAAGTTTCCAAACAGGGTGAGGGGAAAGAAAGAGTCACAGCCAGAGTCTTGGATGGGGCCAAGTGCCACAAGCAGCTCTTGTAGCTTGCCTTGTGCCCAGCCCTCTCGACCACTGGGCTGGGCAATCTCTGTGACCACCCTCAGCAGTTAAACTTCCTTCCACACTGACATGTGAAAGGAGCTATCACAGCATGTAACTGACCTTATCCATGGCAAGACAGCTACCTTCTGAGAAGCACTGACTTCACAATCAAAACTAGCAGTCTTCAAAATTCAAAAAACTTGCTGAAGTTGTATCATGTATTTGTTTGAATAAATGAAACTAAAAATAAATTTACCACGAGCATTTGCTCTTTTTTTATTCCATTTGTTAATACTGTTTTAGTGTCTTTTTACCTGAAGGACTGATGGGAAATGACATACAAAACAGACAAGAAAAAACCACATTTTCTCACATAAGTAAAGAATTAAATAACCCAGTTGGACAGGGTGATCTGGGTACAATGTATATGGTAAGCACATAATAATCTTTTTTTCCAAGAGAACCTGTAACATTTTATTATTCACTGCTTCTTTGATCGGATTAGTTTTCTAAGGAAGGTCAAATTACCCACAAACAATATTCCACAAACAGATAGGATCCTGTGTTTAAAGAAAATGAGCAGTGAGCCCAGCCTGGACAATTTTCCCACCACACACTCAGAAGGAAGGAAAAACGGTGACTGGGAAGGTTTTTCATCTTGCACACACATTCCATCTACAGGCACGTGCTGGCACGTGCTTGGAGCACAGCTGCCTTGGACAGGAGGTTGTCCAACACAGCTTCTTGCAAGGTGGAAAGCCATTCCAGGGACAGCTCACTGCAGGGGCTGTGATGCAGCAGGAGCACAGACATGCCCGGCTGAGGAGCAGTGATTGCACAAAGCAGAGGTGGCAGCTTCCTGCTGTGCACATTTGACAGAAGATACCTGTCCTTCAAGAGTTTCCGGGGAGATGCTCAAATTCCAGTCCTTTAAAATTTCCTTTCCTTGATGCTTCAACATAAAGGAAAATGATGGAAGTACTCTTACAAGGAAGCTCACTCCCTCAACTCACTCTGCAGATCACTAAACCATTTCTGACACTGTAACAAATACTAACCTTACATTTGAAACAGGCTTCCAGCTGCAGAAACCCCAAGGCATATAGAGAATCTAAACCCTGCAACTCTGCAAATTCAGAAGCATTATGGCCTTCTAACAGCACCAGGAAACACCAGGGCTGGCACTATTCTGAGTAACCAGAGCAATTCTGAGTAACCAAGGCTGGGAAAACCCTAAGAAGTGCTACCAATGACACAAAGCATATGATCACCACATGAACAAGTAAACATGAAAACTGAGTCCTACATTCATCTGCACTACAATAGCTTATGGTTTTTTTTTAACATAAACCCACAAAATATTAGGTATCTGACTAGGTTTGCATGATTTTTGACATGCAAAATTTCAAAGCATGCATACCAATAAAATATTTCTTCTCTAAAGTAACCATAGCATTGTGCTGAAGTAAACAACAGAATTGTATTTCTATATTCAGAACAAGAGTAGGTTACCCAGAGTGAATGTCATGTCTATCCTCTGAGATTTTCAAAACCCAAAGCCCTGATGGAGCCCTGAACAAAGCACCAAGCAACTGGGCTCCAGTGTCAAAGAGCTTTACACAAAACACCAGAGTAAATGGCCTCCTGGAATCCCTTCCAGCCCGTGCCACTCTATGACTATTACACATGGATTTTATCCATGGATTTTATTGGGATTGGTATTTATCCTTTGACTGCATCAAACAAAAGGTCAAAGCCACAAATGACCTGGATTTGTGCAGCTGTCCCACATACATCAGTAGAATTATTTATTTGTACTAGAGATGAACATGACCTATGAAATAATAAGCAAAGGGCTTTGAATATACACATATACACTTTATGTCTTGGTAAGCTTGAGTCAAAAAGTGAGATATAAGATACCTCAAAGCCTGGAACTACACACCAAATAAAGCTATTAATAAAGCCAACAGAGATTTCCAACATTTGAGAATTAATTTAACCAAACTATCACTGGCACCAATCTAACCCAATATGCACAAAAGCTTTTGCAGTTACTGAACAGAGCACATTCCTAGGCTACCTGCACTTTCATTGTGGGCACTTTGGTGGTGCTGGTTCCTAAACCCACTCAGATTTAACTAGAATGCAGGATGTCAGCAGGCAAATTGCCCAGGGCCCAAAGTCATACTCAATTCACTGATCACCAGGATTAATCAGAACTGTTCTCTGTACAGGCTGTGTACCTCAGGAAGCACAGCTAATTAGGCAGAAAATTAAGGTCAGGATGTTAAGACATTTCATAAGCTTCCTCAGAACTCAGGATAGAGGAGTCAAATATAGAGCCTTGAGACACCACCACAGGCTGGGTCATGAGCAAGCAAAGGAACAAGAAGGCCTCCAGTCTTCTAGAAACCAAGGGTATACCCACAGCAGCCAAATAATAGTTTATTTTTTCTTGAGATCTGAGACTGAGATCTGAGTCTCAGATCCAGTAGAAGGATTTTACAGACATGCAAAGGTGAGAAGATTCAACAAAATGTGCAGCTTTCACATAAGTTTGAAGAAATGTTAGAGAAATCACTGACTCATAGAATATCTCAAGTTGGAAGGGACCTGAATGGATCAATATGAAAACAGCATAAAACATTGCCTCAGTTATCAACCTGACCAACAGCTGAGTAAACTCCACATGCTTAAAGAGCTTCCAACCAGTTTAAATTTATCAAAATACTGCAGAAGATGATGGGGTACATATTTGTGGTATACAAAAATCAGAGAAGATACATGAATTTGAAGGTCTTTGTGATTGATTTTTTATATTTGCCCACACAATTCTGAAAGTCAGAAGTGACTGGCAGAATGCCAATATGAAAAGTAACACACATTGAGGAGTTATACTTACATTTTTTGCCGTCATGTCAGACAGTATTGCTTTATATTTCATAAAGCCATAAGATATCCCTTTTCATCTTCACATAATCTTTAAAGTGAACATCCTGTAAGACAGTTAATGAAATATCTTAGTTGAAACCCAAGCTTCTGATAAAATAATCACCACTATAGTCAGGTTCTACAGGCATACTAAAAATGTTCATTGCTTGGAACAGGCAGAGATTAAATCCTATATATAAAGGCCCAACTTACATAAAGGCCTGACTACATTAATGTGCTAGCCAACTATGTTATATCATTACCAAAGTTTTATAATTAAAACCATGCAATTTTTGCATTTAAGGCAGATTGGCTTTAAAAATGGAAGTGAATTACTTCTCTTTAGCCAACAACAGAGAAGGCTTTTAATGAAATGTATATATATAGAAAACATTCAGAATTTTTAGGAAACATGCAAGAAAGAAAACTATTCATCTCTAACTCATCTTTTAAATATTTTCATTTTTGTTATTAAACCTGTGTAGTTAGAATTATAATATTAGAATTTCAGGAAAAGATAAAAATTTTGGTACTCCAAAAATAGTTTAAAGTGACTTATTTTTTAAATGAAAGCTTCCAGAAGCCTTACAGAAAACAGAAGTTACAAATCAATGCTGTCAGCACAAACAATTTTAAAGACAGAATTAACTTGACAAAGCGTTTAGGTACCTTGAAAAGTACTTTATAAGTACTACTTGCAGTTTAAAAATGGACTGCAAAAGACATTTGAATTGCATTTGGATGGATAAAATGGAGAGAACTGTTCACACTTTGAAGTGTGGAATCAATTAAGTGAAATTCACAAGATACCTAAACTACTTATCAAAGAAGAGTCATGACCATTTACAGCAGAACTCACTAGCTACAGAAGTGGGATGCAATTCATGCCATTTCCTCTGTATTTTGACCTATGTCAAGCCAGTGTCTTCACCTCCTTCAGGAAAGGGCCAGGGGGTCTTTCAGCAGCGTGCACAACTAATGAGGAGCTCCACCATCACATCCCATCACTGCTTTAGTAGTTTTGGATAACCCAGGAGAATTTTAAATTCTAGACTGTTTCTATACATTTCTTGATTTATTCAGACATCATATCCATTAAACTGTTAGTGGAAAACCATGTAATTCAACTTGGAGGTGTCCTCCACTTCCTGTTGCCTGAGTTGTACTTCTCTTCCTTGGTGCCTCCCTTCATTGCAGCCATAATTGAGCAGTTGCTCCAGCATGTGAACACCACACAAATCTACTAAGACATTCTCCTGTGAGAACTTGTACATTTTAGTTTCACCGCAAATCATCCAAGAAAATAATAAAATTTTTTCTCTGGCTTTAGAGAAGATACTACAAAGAGGTATCTATTCCCACGCTGGGGAAAGGAGCTACTGGATCTGGTAGTAATCCTGAAACCTGAAGCCATAAAGCTACAGGGGTCATGGCAAGGAGCAAATACTGAATTCTTGCAATGCATCTGAAAATTATGATCTTTGGTGCCTGTTCTTTTTCGACATTTCTGACCCCTGCAGATGAACTCTCCAAATCCATCATCTGGAGCTCTGACCAAAATTCACGTTGCAGTCTGGCCTCCCTCTCTAAGAGGCTTTACAAGTAATTTACTCAAATAAAATGCAGTTAAGAACATAATTGCTGAGCAGTTTTAACTTATTTGCAGATAAGCAAACTAGGTTCATCTTTGACAAGTTATTTGCTGTCAAGCTTAATGACCCAGAAGGTATTGTCCATAAACTATTACAGTCCTTTGCCACAATGCTCTTCAGCCAGTAAGAACAGTTGGGATTCTTCCAGCTTTATGAACACATTTTGTCAAGCCTGAGAAGCCAGACTTTGTGACCCCACCATCTGCCATGACCTCTTGTCAGGTTCAGACAAAAGAACCGACACAGATGGCCTCAAAATGGAGATTTTCTTCATTCCCAGTTGCTGCATGTGCTTGCACCACACAGACAGAAAAACATAAAACTCAACCTTTTTTCTTCTTCGGCTGGTTTCTGCTGAAATGAGGCTGCATAAAGACAGAGCCCAGAGCACGAGACACAAAGATTGCTTTTTTTTTTTTTAACTACATTTGTCCCTTCATAAGCTAAGCCTTGGTTTATAATCCACTCCCATAAATTTGCCTTTTGGTCATATACTGTATGGCACAAGAAGTCAATCAAACTGACTTTGTAAACTCTGAGTTGTAGCTTCTTTTAGAACATATTTTCTAATTAATCACTTATGCCACTGATATTGAAAAGCCAGTTTGAGCATTAAATTTATAAAAGCCCAGGTAATCAAGCTCTAGTTACAGCAAAACAGTACAGGAGTTTTATCTGTACCTAATCCAAGTACAAGTTAAAAGCCAGATCTATTCTGAAGTTTTGGTGATTCTGAAGCTGAGTCTCAGTGCAACAACCAGTGCAAAACAGAAAACAGTTATCTGCAGAACAACATTGTACTCCTTATGTTTATTTTCTATCTGTTGTCCAGTCTTATTTTTAAATTACCCCATAACATAACATTACAGTCTGTTCACTGCTCTACCAAACTTACCCTCGTTTCTCTTCTAAAATTTTATCAGTACAAGTCACACCCTCACCCAGACCAGCACCATACAAAGACCCTCCTCAGTGCCAGAGGCCAGTTCCCAACAGAAAGTGCAATTTATGCAATATTAAATCAGTACTAAACATCTACAAATGAACACAACTATTGGACAATCACCTAAATTGTTATGATCAAAAGTCTTTACAGAACACATGAAAGATAAAAAAAGAGATATTTTAGTATACCAGAATGATTTTTATCACCACTAAGGAGCGCTTTTTCGCATTTACCTGATAAATGGTATTGCAAAGTGAAAATTATTCCAGGTAACTGGGTCAGCTAAGAGGAAAGTGTGATGAGTTTCAAGAAAAAGAAACCTGTATAACACCAGCCTTTGCACAAGAAAGTAATTTATACTCTTCATATCCCTCTCCATAGTACTAACTTTCAACTATTACAAGACTGATTTCAGAAGACAGCAGCAACAAAAAGACTCCTTATTAATCAGTACAGGCTCAGTTTTAAACCACTAATTTATGCACAGCATCTACATGGCTTAGACCACCTGTTACACATATGCTGCTTCAGTACGTCTCAAGTTTTCAGATTAGTAAAATTTCAGAATTATTAAGTACTTATCAGAAATCCACCTGCTCCCAGGAAGTGTTTCTCCAGCTTGTTCCTAAAACATGTTTCAATATCTGACTCCTTTTTGAAAAAAAATAAGATTAAAAAAAACCAAGACAGGAGTCCCATATAACATCCAGCTTGTCACTCAATGAAGTTCTTCAAAAAAGCCAACCAAGGTATTTATTCTACAAGCCACATACACAGGATGGGAAAGAAGTCACCACCTTCACCTGTCACACAGTAATTTTTATTTTGAAAATAACATTAGAAAGTAACTCTAAGGAAGCCTTTGAAAGGAAATCCCAGCATGACGTGTATGATGAAGGTCTGGCAGGTATCACGACTTATTTTGACAGCCTTTACTGTGAGCAACTGTATGCCTTCAAAAAAGTCCTAGTAGATAACAGACAAAGTGATCAGAGAGACTGAAGCAAGTCTAAGTGATTTGACCACTGAATGATATTACATATTTTTAACAAAATAAAATAATTTGAGAAGAGTATTCAGTTTAAAAGTGTAATTGTTTAATCACCTTTACTTGAGTTAAAAGGCTGCAGCCTGCAAATCCAAAGCACATTTCTCCCAACTATACAACACAAAAAGAAGATGAGGATTACTGCTTTAAACCCAGATCCAAATGAAAGATAAAACTACCTGAACCCAAATTGAAAGTGAAGATCTCATCATGTAGTTAAGATTGAGCAAAATGCCAATGTATCATCAGAAAAAATTAACTGACACCTCCTGGCAACAGCAGTAATTATGACTCAAGTTTACACAGCACAAAGAACTTGGAAAAACAGAGGAGGCATTCCTGCAAGTTCAATGAGTATAACCTGTAGCACTTCAGCTCCATGAGGGAGAACAACCAACCTGTGTGGTTTGCTAAAAGCAAATGTCCCCTCACGGACTTAATGTAGCAAATACTGAGGCAACAAATGAACTGGATCCCATTCAGTGCTCTCGGAGTGGATTCCAAATGCTACATCCCAATCACTCCCACTATTTGTTGTATTTACTCACTGTTGTAACTATTATTTACAATGTACATAGCATATGACTGTACATCGACACATGACTAACAAAAGCACTGTTTGATGGAGGCTGCTGAATATCCTGAATCCCAGCGATGACGACAGGTGTGAGTGAGAAGAACACGTAACACAGGAAGAAAATCCAAAGCTGGACTCACTCTCTCCTAGCTGAAAGTGCTCTAAGTCTCCATTCATTAAGTGCACTGCTGACCCTGAAGTCCTGCTGCTTGCCCAGCCCTGACAGTGCTGAGTCCCCAGTTCCAGGACCTGGGTGCTCCTTCCCTCAAGGACTCTGTTTCTCAGGCACGCTCAACACCAGCACCAGCACTGAACCACATGTCCAAGAACAGGGGCAGCACTCAGGGCTTCCTTCAAAATCAGTGGGGTGAAACACGTCTCTTATTGTCCAAATAAAGAGAACTTTACATAAAACACATGGAGTAATTCCCAAGCACCTGAACCTTTGAAGGCTTCTAGTTCCCCAAGCCAGCTTACTGTCATTCCAGACAGAGTACACAGGGCCTGACATCAGCACAGCGGGTAACGTTCATGCAGCACTTAAAGCATGATCTAAAATGTATTTTTGAGATTTACAGACAACTTTTAGCACTACCAAGATAAATTTGGGAGTAAGAGAAATTTAGCTGCAGGGGTTTTTTTTTAAAAGCAGACAATCTATTCTATAAGCTCATTTTTTGTTCTCTCACTGGGTTTCTAGCCCATAGCTGACTACTATACAGGCACAACATTTGGGAGTCTGCTGCTTCAGTAGCAAGAAGCAGGTACAACTTCCTTTCAGAGCAAACAGCATACTGTATTTTCACAAACACATTTTTGCCTGAAGAAATTTCATTTTCACA